ATGGGACTAAAAATTGATGTGATTATATTTATATATATTATGTGATTATAAAAGGGGTATTTTCTTATTTAAAAAATTGGAACTGAACTATAATGTGACTAAAGAAGGGGAATGATTATATAGGAGGTGACTATAGAGGAGGTCGACTGTAATTATCCTTATATAAAAACTTTAAAATTATATATTATTACAATCAGGTAACTAAATTGTTTTTATAATTTTCTAACTATTGTTAATTATATAAATAAAAGAATTGTAAACCATTCTTTACAAAAATCTACTTCATAAAAATTAAAAATAAAGTATTAAATTCAGTTAATATCAATATATAGGAAGTTTGCTAGGAAAATAGGGCTCTAAGCATTTTTTTTTAAAATTTTAATTTTTATTGCATTTTACAGCTAATTTCATAATTTTTAAACCAATCAAAAAAATTTTCAGTTGCATTCAGTCACATTCAGTCACATTCAATCACATTTTATGTTAGTATATTACTATATAAATATATTAGAATTTATAAAAAACAATCATAATGGCTAAATATTCATTTCATATTCACTGGAAAATTAATGAAAAAACATTAGCAGGTCTTTCAGAATGAGAAATTGTCACGCATTTAGAAATTAGCAAGTCAATAGTACATCGTATTTATCATCATTTTAAGAAATATGATGTATAGAAACCTTTCATCTTTACGTGGAAGTCCAAGAATTTTTAGTTATAACAATATGAAATATCTGGAAATACTACTTAAAGAAAAAGTTGACTAGTATATTTGGAAATTACAATCTCAAATAGAGCTTTAATTAGAATGAAATATTAACCTTAGTATTGTATGAAGAGCAATTCATTGTATAGGCTATACACATAAGCAGGTATTTCATTATTTATGTATTTTTATTTACTTATATTTATTAAATTTCACAATAATTGTCATTACTTATATAGTTATCAAAACCTTCACAAGAAAGAAATAATAATGAGCATATAAATTTTATTGTACGCATGTCTCAATATTTACCAAATCAATTAGTATTTTCAGATGAATCTTTATATAACAAAAGAATACTATCACGATGATATGAATGGAATATTAGTGGATTTCGTGCAAGGAAATTTACATTTTTTGTTAAAGGACAACGGTTTACAATAGAAGACGCATTGTATATAAATGGTTTGTTAGCATATGGAATTCAAGAAGGTTCAATGAATTCTGAGGATTATTTACATTTTGTTGAAAATATTTTGGTATGTTTTTTTTTATAGTAAAAAAAAATTTAAAGATTTGGATTACAGTAATATAAAATCTAAATATAATTTTCTTATAAAAGCTTCCAAAAATGTCACTATATACTGCACAATATAGTGTATTAATTTTAAATAATATATCAATTCACAAAAGCTAATATTTATGAGATTTATGTGAGGAAAAAGGAATACGACTTGAATACTTATCTCTATACTCACCTGACTTTAATTCAGTAAGTTTATCCATTATATTACATAGATAATTTTAATAATTTTATACATAAAACTAATAATAAATAATATTACAGATCAAACAAAGTTTTTTTTATATTAAAAATTACTTATGCCAAAATCATAGCTAGGTAGAATCTTTAGAAAATCCAATCGATGTATTAAATTTTAGTTGTATGACAATTGGAGATACTTTAGCTAAAGCATGTTTTCAACATGCTGGGTATTTGTAATTATATACCTTTAAATAGTTATAAAGGATAGTTTTAGAAAAGGAGTGGTTAGGATTATCGCTATCTAATTTATTAATAATATTAGAATTGTGTTTATATGTTAAGTTTTTATAGTGTGGATTTTGTTCTGAACTAAACTTTTTCTTTTTAATTCAGGGATTTCAGCTTTGATTACTTTTACTAGTTATTCACGTTATAGACTTTTAAATCTGTAATATCTTATTTGAAATTTGAAATAAATTTGTTACAAAAGATATTATTTTACAATAAATTATATAATTTTCATTTATTTGCGTATTTAATTTTACAGTGCAGAAAAGAAATAAATATATAGGAGATTTTATTAACCAAACATTTTGAGAATACACAAAGTTTTATTATTGTAATACCAATGATCACTGGTGAAAAGTTTAATTAACCTTTAACATACTGTCAAAAATCTTTTGATCGCATAATTTACCACTTCTAAAATCGAAGAAGTTTAGTAGGAGTTAGTAATAAGCCTAAAATAAATCTGACCATACCAACATGTTAAAAAATAGTTTTGAGAATGGAAAATAAAATGTTGTAAGGATGAATGCTATAACATCATGTTTTCACTTTGATTTACAGTAAAATGAAGATCCAATGATGAGATTCGAGAGCCTATCAATTATAATCAAAATTTTAAAATCAATAACAATTCATTTCTTTAACAAAATAGTTTAATAGTACATAAATTATCAAAAAAACCTTAATATCAGCATTCAGATCATATTAGTAATTGTTCTGAACCAATAAACTACAGAAAATAATAACAAGAAAATGAGGAATAAAGTAGTCCATTTTCAAATACGTGATCCAAATTAAAACTCAACAAATTTGGTATGATATCTTAATTTTCACCCAGTCTTCAAATATTGTTGTAGATATAAATGATAGAATCATAGCCAAAAATTGTACATAGTCTCTCATAATTTCAAGGTTCAGAGCCAATTAATTCGAAATGCTGTAATTTGACCAGCTAAAGCAGCCTTAATTGCTGATTCAAGTACTCTTTGTATCACTGCCATAAATAGATGTTAAAGTAGATGTTTGTAAGGTCCGATGGTGGTTGATTCCTTCCTCATATTATTGAAATTGGTGATGGAGTAATAGGAATGTAATGTCTTGAATTGATTGAGGTTGATCCAGTAGATGTATTATTATTAATGGAATTAAGTGATGCTGTATTGATGATGTATTTGGTGGTGATGTTATCCTTGATATTGCTTGTTGTTGATTATATGAATAATAATGACTATGTTGAAAGAGGAGTAAAGAAAGAAGGAGGTTGAATGATGGTAGAGCTCAGATCTACAACCATTATAGGTAAAGAATTCGATAAAGTTGGTTAAATACTTACGAGACTTAAAATCTACAATAAACCTTGAATGCTTGGTAAATGTATTCCAGAATTTTGAGAAGCATTAACAGTCTTGTTCCCATTAGGGGTTGTAGGCAGGGTTGGGAAGTACAGTGTTAGTACAATGATTAGTATAATTAGTACAGTTAGTACATTATAATAATTAATATAAAAATTAGTACAAGTACAGTGTTAATTTTATCTAGTACATACAAAATTCCCAACCCTAGTTATAGGTAATCGAATAGTTGCATTCAATTCTTTGGATCTATTACGAAAGGGTAGAAATCCATTAGTTATTATTAGGATATTGAACATTAATTTGTGAATATTAAATTCTATTATTCCCTATGGGATTCAAAGGATTATTATTAGTAATTGTTATATTTGATGGTGGTAAATTAGGCATAGATGAGAAAGAAGATAAGTTGAAGATTTTGATAGGAACAGTGATATATGTAAGCCTTTATTTGATTGAAGTAAAAATGAAGTTCCATTCACTTGAACATGATTGAAACCAAATATCGATTTAGAACCCCTCTCCTTCCGATTCAAATTCAATACAATATACATTAGGAAGACTTAATTCTGAAGATTTAAGTCTTTTTAAAATTGGGTTAAGCTGTGATGAATCTGGATTGGGCTTTCTCAAAAGTGATTTTGATGGCTTTCCTTTAGATTTTCTGACAGTGATTTCTGAATCAGATTCAATTACAACCATATCATGATCCAGTTCAACATTCTCTTTCACTTTATAATTTTTCAATTTATTGTTATTTGATTGCAATTCATTTTTAAATGTCAATATCGTTTTCTATTCTAAATAGTTAGAAATGGAAGAGATCAATACTTCTAAACTTTTAATAACAGATTTATTATGAACTGACGTTTTCTGTGATTGTTTCAACTTTGACAATGTAGAGTTATTAAAAGTAGCATCCTCATTCACAGTTTTCCCATTATTTTATAATTTTAAATTAAGCTATTGAACACCATCATCTTCATTCTCCAATTTTCTCATTTCCTTTTCACGTTTATTCATACGTTATGTGACTAACTGAATTAACAAAAATAAAAAAAAAATAAATAAATTATTTGTTTTTAATTTTCATAGAGAAAAACATATTTGAGAGTACCTTTTCAATTAATTTATCAAATTTCCGTCATTTTGAAAGCTTTTTGTTATCATTGATATCTGTATTTTTCTGTAAAATCATCAGAGTATTATTAACGCGCTTTAATATTAATGATTTAATATGAAGTTTGGCTAAAGCAAACGTCCTAAAATCTTGATCTATTGATCTATCAAACTACAATACAAATATTAAAAATAAATAATAATTCCTTTTTCTTGGTATTTCAAAAAAAAATGTGGTCTAATCTGTAAAACACTCTTCCTTAGAAAATTCATTAAAAAAGATTTATATTGAGCATCGATGAATATTCTTTGACCATTCCTATTCTCATACTCTAAAACTTGTCTGGTATAAGTCTGTCTTGTTTCTCGAAGAACTGTTTGTTACCAAATTAAAATAGTTTATATCATATTAATAAAATTTCAAATCACAAATGATAATGTTATCATACCATCAATACCATCAATACACAGCTTAATTGTTGCATAACGTTCAGACAAATATATATTTGACGATTTATATTAAAGGAAACCTTGTTTGCCTTTAAATTCACTTTCCCTTTGCCCTTCCATATTTTATCAGTTTTTATTCTATTGATTAATAATACTAAATTATTAATATTACCATTCATACTAGACAATTCAAAAGTTCTAAAAATGCTTATTGAATTGACTAATCCATTTACACCTATTCCAATTGAAGGGCAAGATGTGATCAATATATTGATAATAAATCCTGCATTATATGAGAACTATAATAAAAGGTAATTAGACAAATGAAAAATCAATAAAAAAAAAATAAAAAGAAATAGATTTTTTTAATATATATTACCTCAGGTTATATTGCTATATGCTTCATGATATTCGATTGAGTAGGAATTGAATTTAAATTTGATTGAAAATTGCTTTTTTTTTTTTAAAAAAAAAAATAATTATACTTGATTTGGAAATTCATTATTCTTTACAGTGTTAAATTTAGATCTAAACAGATTCCATCAGAGAATTAGTACAGAAAGTGCAAGGAAAGAAATGAAGTTGCTATAATGATATTAGCAGATGTACCTATATTAATATATGTAAATTATAAGAAAATACCTAAAAACTTTGAGTTGCATCTTCAGTTGAATAGCGGCCCTTTCAAAAAATTTAGTTTTTAATCTTTTTTGAGCCTTTAAACTTTTTGCAAAGTGTATGAAATTTTAAACGATTCCTTTATTACATTCCCATTTATTCAGTAATTGTAAATAGGAGTTGATATTATAATAAGAATAGTAATAAGGATAGACTCAAGCGTAAATTCAACATATAAAGCAAATCTGCGTAAATTCAATGATTTATCAAGCCATTATTTAACAAATAAAAAATAAATGAAATTTTTTATATAAACTTATATGCATCCATATTATCTAAGCTAAGCCTATGATAATACCAAGTGGGATATAATCATAGAGACGATCTGAATACCAGAAAAGAGGATCTACATAATCCTTCAAATTTAAGTGATTATCTGGAATCTCAACGTTTAATGAAGAAGTATCAATTAGGAATATTGGAGACACTGGGTTCGATTCATAATTATGATTTTAATCCTGAATCAGAGAGATAGATGATGACATGAAAGTTGGTTCATCAGTAAACTTATTTGATAAGATATTTATAAGTTTCAGAATTTGTTGTTTTCGCTTTGACATTAAGTTTATAGTCAGAGAAACAAAGTTCTGCAATAGCGCTATGACGCTTTATCAGAGACAATGATTCTAAAGAAGTCTGACTTCATTTAATTGGATATAATATTGGAGAGGTGGGTAGTGAAAATTTTTTTTTAATAAAAATTTAACATTTTAAAGAAAAAAAAAATAGTTAAAAAAATTTATATGTTATTTAAATATCTGAATGATTATGTAATAAAATAGAATTTTCTGTTTAAGCGATAAAGTAATTTTGGATCAATTTTAGCATATGTTTCTGATTCTGGTTTATAATATATAATTGGCTCATTAGGTCCTGATGCTAAAATAGTATCAAAGAATAGGCAAACAAAATCTTCTTGTTCTCTATTATTGTAAATCATTGTTAATAATCTTTAACAATAATAATATATTCATATTTTTATATTTAATTATTAATAATATTTCCATATGCTCTATATTTCTCCAAATGATCTGCTCCATCAATTTCACTTAATCCCTTTTCAGTGGCAAATTTTCTTTAAGCCATATGAAATAATTAATATTTTTTTTTTAAAAAAAAAAAATAGATAAATTAATTGAACCTTATTAGTCGAAATCAAAAATATCAGACATATTATATATGAAGTCAAAATAGATCATTTCAGAAATCTGAAATGGTCAAAATGATCGAAATCTTTTTTTTTTTATGTTTTAATGATGCGGTACTATTAGTACATTTATTAATTTATACAAAAATACAATAATAGTAAAATCAAAAACTAACAAACAAATGACTAACTACCCCTCATAACTATATTGCAAATCTGTTTGAGTCGACCAAGTATCATTACCCCTTCAATAGATATACTATACGCATGCATAATGACTACTATCTTCAACAGAAAATGGAAATAAACCATGGTCAATACTACTTCATTATTTCCTTTTTAAAGTAAATTCCTGAAAAACAAAAACAAAAATGTAATCCTTCAACTAATAGTGACATATTTTTCGAGAAGTAACTATGAAACCTGACCATCTACGCTAAAGAATTTACAAAAAGAAGCAATATAAGGGACTCTACTAAGTTCCTAGCTAAGTTGTTCAGTCAATTCTGGATTACAACGACCACCTGACACAGGTGCACACATATCACTAAGTTCCAATAAAGGCTCTTCGGACTATCGCTTCTAATGCTAAAATATCTGTCAATTCAGATTACAACTGACCCCTAGCACAGGATGAGGTCCAAATCACACAGTCGGTCAAGTCCGGAAAATACTGTGTGGAATTCCGCAGTCTTCGACGTCAGAGATCTGCAAAAAAAGAGTATTGCTGTTTATGAAGGAATAGGAATATCATCACGCAGATTTGTGTATTCAAAATATGTTAATCGTGATCATCAGTTGGGATACAACTTGATGCCCACTTTTATAGGCAATTATTTTTGAAAATGAAAAAACGAGAAAAAATATACTGAAGAGAGGTGAAAAAAAAATATTTTAACAAAAAACAACACAGTTTAGACTTCAACAACAATTTTTATGTGGATAGGGGTTGGGGAAACAAAAATAGGAAAATTTTTGAAAAGAAGGGTTTTTTATTTTATTTGCAGGCTAAGCCTCGGCTGCTTTTGAACGAGCACTTTTTTTAAAGTAAAAATTCTTGGATAAAATCCAACAAGGAAGAAAGAGAGTTTTTTTGTCGAAATCGGTCGAAATCGTCGAAATACTTTTGACCATTGGAGGCTAAAGTCACGAAATAGTCAAAATGATGTCATATCACATGATTTTTTATATTTAGAAAAAACAAAAAAAAGATGTATGATCTCGGTCAATATCGCTCCGATTCGTATGAACAACTACCATTCAATTCCTCGAAACTAGGCGGATCTAATGAGCTAATATTCATTGATTTTGGATCATCTAATCACGAGATACTCGCAATTGTATTATCGGCCAAAATTATAAATCAATAAATTCTACTTTAAATAAAGAAGTCTGGATTTAGAAATATGATCACAAATATCTTAAGATGGGATGATCCAAAATCAATGAATGTTAGCTCATTGGATTCGTTTAGTCGTAAGGAATCGAATGGTAGTTGTTTCATACGAATTGGTGCGATATTGATAGAGATCGTACATATTTTGTTTTTTTTTTTATATATAAAAAATCATGTGATATAACGTAATTTCGACCATTTTGACTTTTCATTTTGACTTTGACCTTCAAAGTCGAAACATTTCGACTTTTTGGATTTTCATTTCGACTTCATGTATAGATGTAGCATTTATTAATAAAAAATTAATTTTTTATTAATTTTTAATAACAAAATGCAATTCTGAAAGTCAAACGTAGCATTTATTATTAAAAAATTACTTTTTAATAATAAAATGCCAATCCGAATATCAGAGGTGAATTTTTGTTAAAAAAACAAAATTGTTGTTTTTAATATTAAAATGCTGTTCCAAATGTCAAGGGTGGATTTTTGTTAAAAAAAACAACAAAATTGTTGTTTTTTTAACATTAAAATGCTGTTCCGAACATCAGAGGTGGATTTTTGTTAAAAATAATAAAATAGTTATTTTTTAACATTAAAACGCCATTCTGAATGTCAGGGCAGATTTTTGTTAAATAAATAACAAAATTGTTGTTTTTTTAACATTAAAACGCTGTTCCAAATGACAGAAGTGAATTTTTGTTAAAAAATTATTTGATCTGTCAGATATGAATACGAATTCAGATACAGATTCAAATTTGTCAGATTCAGATTAAATCAGATTCAGATTTTTCAGATTTTACCCAAATCTGATCTGATCTGATCTATATAGAACATTACCTGTAATAATTGCAACTAATAGCAACATGTATTTAATTAAGTTAATAATATTATAACATTTAATTGATTTTTTATTTGTTACAACATAATAAAATAATTGTTGTAATCATCTTTAGTTTAGAAATATTTTGATTATCTTTAAAAAATTGATCAACCTATAATTTAAACATATTTGATACAACATTTTCAAAAAATAAATGGATTATATCAATTGGAAAAGATCTAGAAAATTTGATTGGTGCTAATTCCAATAAAATGCTTTTGCCTTTAATTCATAAAATTAAAAATAAAGTTAAATTAAATTATTTATAATTAATAATAAAAGAATAATAAAAGAATAAAAATTTATCACATTGTTTTATTAATGCTTTTTTTTCTTGATTAATTCTATTTGATCAATATATGCTATCCAATTAAAATGATTTCTATTTATATAATTTTCATTTGTAGAAAAATATATGTGTTTAACTTAAAGATAGGAACTGTAATTAATATGTTGCAACTTTTAATGTTACAACTTACGTTGCAATTAGTTTTAACCTATATATGTTGCAACTTATAATATTGCAACATATGTTGCAACTAATTTTAGCTTATATTGCAACATTTTGTAAATTTGAAATCAATTGCTGTATCATCTTTAGTTTAACTCCTTTTTTTCAAAAAATGACCTGAAATAATAGAAAGCAAAAAAATAAACAAAAAGGATGTTCATTGTCACCTTTGAAAACTAATAAAAACAAAATACAAATAAAACTTTAAATATCCCACTAACTCAAAGCACTTACGATGACATTGTTGCAACTATTACTATGGAAGTTGACCCCAAACCGTTAGAAGAAAGCAAAGAAAAAGACACTTCAACTGAAGTCTCCAATAAAACCTATAATACTATTAATGTTGATGAAAATAATGATGCGTCTGATAACTTCTTAAACAAGAATACTTCTTCAGCCTAGGCCTTCGATAGAACAAAACCTTCGTATTATAATTTTTTTCCCATTGAGGACTTTCCTGGTATAACACCCTAACAAAAAGCTTTAAGTATCATCGACTTGCTCTTTGACAAATATGACTCTTTCACCAACGCAGTAATCATGAAATATTCAGTGAACCAATCACTTCATATTATTAAAATTTCCTTTCGAAGCCAAAACAAACGAGACTATACATGTACTATGCTGTTACCAGATTTAGACAACTGCACGTTTTTGCTTCTTGATATTGTATCAACATCACCTTTTATGCCTGCAAGGTCGATCAAGGTGACTGAAATACCTCTTGATTCTAATGAACACATGGTCAAGACCATTTTTAGCAAATTTAGAAAGATTGTTCAATTTAATATGAAAACTAAAAACATGTAGCAACAGGCTACGATCACCTTTGCAGAAGATGCTAATTTCAAGGAGCTAAAGAAGTATAATGGTATTTTTGTTCTAAATAAAATGGTTAGGATACATATGTGTGACCTTTCCTGTGTAGCAATTTTAGATAAATTCAAATTCTCAGCTAAACTAGTGGGTTTTCCAAGATATATGACTGGAAAAAAATTACAGGAAATCAGTTGTATGATCAATTCTATTGCATAGGTTATTTCAAAATCACGCCTGAATTACAACAATCTTCAGCATGAATTTTTTTATTTTGCCTCTGCCAATAACTTTGAAGCCGTTATAGAAAATAAAATCTAACAATTGATAATAAACATATGACTTAGACAATGCCATACGCTAAACTTTGTACCATATGCTCATTACTAAATCACAAAGTTAATGACTGTCTAAAAAAAAGAAAAAATCCAGTAGATCGTAACATGTAACATTTATACTAGAGATTTTAACCGGTGTAGTTCTCTAATTACAAAGCGCTGCAAAAAAAATTGAAAGGCGCAGTTTCTCCTAATGTTTCCTTTTCTTAAGTTACACAAGGTCCTAATGCTTCTAAACCTGCTTTCTAAAATACTATTCTACCTAAACAGCACGACAGTAACTCCTCTCAGAATCACCATCAACAATCGAAAAATAGTCATCATCCTTAAGCAGGCTCCTGATCAGATAAAATTTCACCAAATATGAATGAAGAGTGTTTATTCGATAACATAATCTGCCCAACTCCTAATGGAATGATAAATAATAGTACTAAAACAGGTGAATCGATGCATACCAACAATGATTATAACCTTAAAGCATTCATCAAATCACAATTCACAAATTTAGAAGAGAATTTGAGTATTATCATATTAAACTTGGCTTTTACCTTTAAACGTGTTGAGTTTATTGAACAGCAACTCAATGTTAAAGTCATCATAATAATTAAAGCTGATGCACATAATTTGAATGCAAATGAAATGGTCGATGATATTGAACTAACAATTGACTTCTCTGCCTCCATTATCACAAAATAACAAAAAGTAATTGATTGATTACGTAGTTTAAATGAAATGCATCAGTCTAGATTCCGATCTTTTACTAAAACCATTAATATATTAGCCTATTCTTGTAGTACTTTCCAAAGCATCTTGATAAAAAATAATATGCTTCCTCAAGAATATGCTAACAACATATTCCTACTTGGTATAGCTTTTGATGATGACGTTAAGAGTTACAGTAGTGAACTTTCAACATGTTAATTTTATTATGAATACTGTCATTACTGTTGATCATGCACAAGATGCATCAAATTCTTAAACAACACCTTTATCTTATATCTCTCCTCCATTTCTTGCTTTCACCTTTTACAACGTTTATAGCTTCACTAATATCGCCAAATAACATACACTTTCCCTATAAAAAATATGTATACGTTTTTTATTATTTTTAATATGTTTAGTATACGTTTTTAAAAATTGTGTATTATATTTCCTTATATTTTATAAAGAATTAATTTTTTAACAATTTTTTTCAAAAATGAAGTATAAGGAATTATTAATCAATAATATATAAAATAATAATAAAAAAATTTATATTGTTATTACATTAAAATTATAAGATTTTATCAAATAAATTATAAGTTTTTTAACGAATAAATTATGTTTTTTAACGAATAAATTATATGTTTTTTAACAAATAAATTATCATCTTCTTCTGAAATTAAGCACACTTTTTTGTTATAAGGATGCTTAATTTTGGATATTAACAAAATTGCTATTTTAAAAACCTTAAATAAAGTTAAATGATTGCTTTAATAGTTATTTGATTATCTTGTCATATGATTTTTGTAATACTATTTTAATTTAATTGATCATTATTGCATAATATGTAAATTAGAATTAATCTTTGCGTAGTTTTTTCCATTTATAAAAACTACTACAAAAAAAAATGTTTTAACACAAATGAAAAAATAAGTTAAAAAAAAAGATTAAAAAGTTACAAAATAAATCAAAAAGTGCAAGTAGTGAAATATGTAATAAAATATGGAATAAGTAAAGCAACTTCTTATTTTGAACTTAATGCCAGCATGGTTAGATATTGGATAAAGGTAAGCAAGAACTGGTCAACTGAGATAAATAAAAATAGTAAGCAGATTGAAGCTGGTTAAAGTGCTTTCTTTCCTGAAGTAGAAAAAAGCTGTATAATTGGATAATAAAACAGGGTTTAGTACGAAATCCTGAAACTCAAAATCCTGATGGCACATAATCCCAACAGTTTAAATCCTGAAATATCAAAATCTCGAATTGTTATAATCCCGAATACCATAATCTCGTCAACATCAAAATACCAAATAGTCAAAATCCTGACTTGTCATAATCCTGAAAAATGAAATATCCTGAAATGTCATAATCCCGAAATACAAAATCCTGAAATGAAAAATCCCAAAATTCTATTAATATTAGAATTTTGATCAATTTTGAAGTCATAAAGGTACTTTATTAATAATTATTTAAAAATGCAGGGATAATACATATATCTTCTATATAAATTATAAAAGTAAAGAAAATATAAAAAACTATATAAAAAATAAAAGCTAAATAAAAAATAAAAATCATAACAGCTATCATTATCACTGACATCATTAAAGAGGCTAACCCAGATTATTATTTTTCAGATATCTGGATATCATGAATTTGATCCAGTTTAAAATATTCAGTTTAAATCTGAAATCTGACTTTTGAATTTTAAGAAAAATTCATACGAATTTTTCTTAAAAATTTAAAAAGAAAATGCTATGAGTTTTAATAAAAAATTGCTACGAACTTGATAGAAAAAAGTTACAAATAATTATAATAACAAAGCCACAAGTTTTAGCCATAAAAATGTTACGAGTTTTAATAAAAAATTATCACAAATTTAATAGAAAAAAGTCATAAATAATTTAATAATAAAGCCACAAGTTTTATCATAAAATGTTATTAGTTTTAATAAAAATTGCTACGAATTTGATAAAAATGAGACACAAATAATTCTAGTAATAAGTCACAAGTTTTAGTATGAATTTAATAAGTAAAATTATGAAAATATTATGAATTTTAATAAAATAATGTATGAACAATTTTATTAACTAAAGTCTCAAATTTTTGTTATTAATTTAATGAGTAAAATCACAAAAATGCCATAAATTTTAATAAGATGATGCTATGAATCTGTTAAATAATTATGTAAACCAGTATAATTTGCCAATGCTAGCTCAACAAAAATTTTATATAAAAATCTTAGTTTAATTATTTTTTTTAAGAAAATTCAAATTAAAAATCCCGCATCATTTATAATGGATAATGAAATAGATAATAAAATCTGTGAAATTGTAACATCTCAAAAAGGACATAATAAAATTAATGTGCGCAGTTATTTGATGGTAAAAGAAAAGGACCAAAATGATATTTATTACTGGTGTTGTGAGAAAAGAAAAAGTGAAAATTGTAAAGGTTGAGCAATAACAAAATTTTCTAACAATTCTCATTACCTTTAAAAACTTGTTAATCACAATCACTCTCCTCAAGCTACTAACGGTAATGTCGTAAATGCTGTAGCTCATATTAAAAAGCAAGCTAAAGAAACTAGAAAATCACTTGTACAGATTATTCAAAGCAATATAACTATCATCTCCGAAGAAGTTGCTACTTACATGTCAACACAAAATGCTCTTTGTGCAAGCGTTAGAAAAGCTAAAATGTTACCTGAACCACAATCTCTTGATGGAATTGATATTCAAGATTCCCTTCAGTATATATTAAGTGGAAATCTTTTTTTAATAAAAGATTCAACTATTAGAGAAGAAAGAATTCTCTTATTCATAACAAAAGAAAATATTCGTCATTTATCATAAGCCTCATTTTGGATAATGTATGAAACATTCAAAACAGTTCCAACAATTTTTTATCAGCTATATAGGAGGCGGTTAGTAGAAAAGGAGGTAGACCACTTAGCTAATTTTGATCAAGTACACAAATTTGGCTTAATAATAAAAATTAACAAAAATTTTGGATTTTCCATATATTATCCATGCTTCTGTTGGTGCTGATGATAATTATAGAATTCTCCTACTTGTTTATGCACTAATGTCGAGCAAGACCAAAGATTTGTACAAAGCATTATTTCAATATTTAAATGAATTCTCTGAAGAAATCAATATTGAATTAAGACCATCAACAATAATTACAGATTTTGAACATGCATCTATTAGTACATCTCGTGATGAATATCCAAATATTACCAATAAGGGTTGTTTTTTTCACCTAAGCTAAAATGGTTGGCGAAAGATTCAAGAAGCTGGTCTAGTCATACAATATGGTTCAAATGAAAATCTTAGCATAATGTTATGCCATTTATTGCACTGGCATTTTTACCAGCCAATGATATTTCCGATGCTTTCGATATTTTAAAACCATTAATGCCCTCAATTGCAGATAGTGTGGTATCATGGTTTGAAGAAAACTATGTTCATGGAAAGATACAAAGGTGATTATGAAATAATAACGTAGTTCAACTTTAGCCTACTTTTCCGCTAAAGTTATAGTCAGTTCATGATTCAATTGAATCAGGAATTCCAAGAACACAGAATATAGTAGAAGCTTAACATCGTCATTGGAAAATATTGTCAGAAAATCACATATAGGAGTTTATACAATAATTCAAGAGTTTCAAAAAGAACAGCAAGTTGAGAAAATTTTTCATGGTGAACAACGATTAAGTCAGAAAAATATTTAATTGAGCGAGAAAAACGAATTATGACTATTTTTAATGATTGTGCAAATCGTGAATTAATGGATTATCTTCGTAGCATAACACATAACATTTCCTTGTAATTTTTTATTAAAATACGGTGTATATTACATACATATTGTAAATACTTATTAAGAAAAACACGTTTATTAGGTTTGAAAAAGTGTATTTTTTTTTGTAAATAAACTGCTTAAGATTTTTGATGATATTGCATTACACGTTGCATATATACAAATAATAGGTTCACAAAAAAAATAAAATTATTATAAATTAGTTATAAATTTTTCATATAATTGAAAGAGATCCGTTCAAAATCCTGAAACCCTAAATCCCGAAAAGTACAAAATCCTAAAATATTGATTAATGTTATGCTCATAGTTTCAGGATTTCGTACTTTTCAGAATATTATACTAGACTCTTTTTAATATTACATTACTCTTACAAAATAATAATCAAAAGTATAATATTTGGGATTTTGAAATTCAGGATTGTGATGTTCGGAAATGTGATATTCAGGATTATGATTTATTATTTCAGAATATTATCTTTTGGGATTATAGAATTCGGATTATGATGAATTTATCATTTGGGATTTTATCTTTCAGGATTAAGACATGTCAGGATTTTGAATTTTTGAGATTATGACAAGTCAGATTTTGAATATTCGGGATTTTGATGTTATCAAGATTATGGCATTCAGGATTATAACAATTCGGGATTTAGACTGTCAGGATTATGTGCCATCAGGATTTTGAGCTTTGGAATTCGCACAGATCCCAATAAAACAAAGGAAACAAGCTTTTGCTAACAATACAAAGTTGAATGCTAAAAATATTGGAAGAACCTGAAATGCTAGTGTTTTATCATAATTTATCAAAGGATTTTAAAATGTCTTATCGTTAGATAGTTGCATTTTTGAGACGATATGGATACTCATTATGAAGAAAAATAAAAATAGCCTAAAAACTATCAATTCAAACTCAGGAACTACTAGAAAATTTTTAACAATTTTTTATTTGTCTAAGAACTGAAAAGTCTTTCAAATTGAATGAAAATTTTAATATAGATGAGACTCCTGTTTGGTTTGGTATAACTGGTAATATCTTAATTAATCTAAGAGGTGAAAAGACTGTACATATTAGAGCTACTGGTAATGAAAAGAACTGATTTATAGTGATTTTGACTTGTGCTGCAAGTGAATCATTTAATACTATTTATTAAAAAAAAAGTAAAATTTTTATTATTTTTAATGTTATTTTTTTATATTATAAATTATACTAGATTACCATCTATTTGTATTTTTAAAGGAAAACAAATGTCATGAGAAGAATTAGTTTCGAGAGTAATAGTTTAGTTTCAAGAACATGGATAAATAAATGCAAATTTGATGAAAAAATATGTAGATTATATTTATAATACAAAAACTAATATTACTCCTGCAATGTTAGTATATGATTTATTTAGGGATCATATAGAAAAATCTGTTAAAATAAAGTTTCGCAAAAGTGAATATAATTAGCAATAATTTCAAATGGATTTATCAGCATTTACTAAACCATTCGATGTTACAATTAAACTATTTAAAGAAAATTTAAGAAAAGAATGGCATAATTGGATGGCTAGAGATAATGTTAAAATAACTATTGCAAGAAACCTTCGTTAAACAAGATTAAGTGATGTTTACATTTAGATCAAATGTTTTTTGGAAATAATTTTAAATGAAATTATCATTAAATCCTTTAAAACATTTGTGCTATCAAATTCTTTAGATCAGATGAAAGTGAAGAAAAGATTGAAGATGAAATTTTGAACATTATAAATGTCGATAATAGTGATAATGAAGATAATAGTATTGATGATGATGTTAATAATGATGATAATAATAGTGGTAATAGTGATGATAATAGCACTAATAATGATGGTGATAGCATGAATAATGATGATAATAGCTTTAATAATAGTAGCAATGATTTTTTTTAAATAAAATATATGAATTTTATTATTTTAATTAAAATAATGTAATTGTGCTTATTTTTGGATACTAATAAAATATGTATTGTGCATATTTTCAGGAGCGTTTAATTTTAGAGGAATACAATAATACTCAAGTTATATAATAAAATATTATATCTTTATAGTATAAAAATAATTAAGTTTTTAGCTTACAAATTTTTATTAAATAAATTTTATTTATTATAAAAAGTTTAAAAAAAAGAAGATTTTTTATTTATAAAATTACGAGCTCAAAGTACATTATTTTGAACTTTTCTATTTGTTATATGTTCAAAATTTATAGTAGTTTGTTCATGTTTGCTTTTTGAAGTCTAATGATCTTATTTAAACCTTCAGCATTATTAATATTTAAATAAAAAAATCTCGATGTACATAATATACAATACTATATCTGATTCTATCAGTAATTTCAAAATTTCTATATAATAATAAACTTGAATGAAATGCTATAATTTGTTCTGATTTAAGATGTATTATAATTTTAAGTTGAGGAAAACATAATTCGCCTTCTTTATAATCTCTTAAAGCAACTAGAAGACATAAACAATTTTCATCATCATTATTATTCCAATAATAATCGCTAATAATATTGAAATTAATAGACATTATAGGAAAATTCCAAAAGTTTTTGATACAAATGGACCTAAAACTAAATTGTTTAATTTCATATATAAATTTTTGTAATTATCTTTAACAAATTGATTAACACAATTTGTTAATGGTTCAAGAGCGAGAATCAAATTGTTTACACATTCTAAATGATCAAAATTATGTGAACTAGTCATATCAGAACTAATATAAGGAAGATTTTGATATCTTCTAAAGGCTCCAAAATGTTCAATAAAATTATGCCAAAATGATTTACTTCTATGTGTAGGATTTTCTAAAGTATGAAAATAATAATGATTAATTGCTTTTGTTGCTTGTTTAATAATATTATCATTATTAAATTTTTCTAAATTAATTAAAGTTTGTTCATTTGAGTCAGTAATATATTTAAAGAATTTTATATGATTAAATTCTTCTAAATCATCTAATGATTTATATCCTTTTGTTTTTTTTAATTAATTTTATTTTATTTTTATTGGTAAGCTTTAAAATAATTTCTTTAGTTTGAATGAAAGCATTGTTTAATTTATTCTACTTTAATTTCAAGTGATTATGTATATTATTTCTTTCAATAGGTTCTACCTATTTAACTAGCGGCTAAAAGCAATCCATTTTTTATTATTTTTATTATTAATAGATAATTTATTAATTATATTATCATCAATTAATAAAAGAAAATTCAAAGGAATTTCAGATATATTTGAATTAGTTACTCTAGCTTCTTTAATTAAAGCTTGAATAAATAAATCTCTTACAGAAGTTTTACAATCATCTGGACTAAGAGGAACACTTTTCCATAAATGATTTATATAATAATCTTTTTGTAAATCAGTTATATTTGTACTAGCTTTTTAAGTTCAATGTTTATTTGGATTAAAACCTATATTGTTTATATTTAAGGAATTTATTTTTTCTGATATAACTTCTTCTTTATATTCATTTAATTCATTAATATTATCAAGTAATATATTATTTCTAGTATATATGAAGTCGAAATTAATCATTTCGGATATCCGAAATGGTCGAAATGGTCGAAATTAATTTCGACTATATGTTAAAAAAATTTAAAAGTCGAAATGAATTATGATGGTCGAAATGCATTATGATGGTCAAAATGAATTATGATGGTTGAAATGTATTATGATAATCGAAATGTATTATGATGGTCGAAATGTATTATGATGGTCAAAATGAATTATGATGGTCAAAATGTATTATGATAGTCAAAATGAATTATGATGGTCAAAATGAATTATGATGGTCAAAATGTATAATGATGGTCAAAATGTATTATGATGGTCGAAATAAATTATGATGGTTGAAATGAATTATGATGGTCGAAATAAATTATGATGATTGAAATGAATTATGATAGTTGAAATGTATTATGATGGTTGAAATGAATTATGATAGTTAAAATATATTATGATAATCAAAATAAATTATAATAATCGAAATAAATTATGATAATCAAAATATAATATAATAGTTAAAATATATTATAATAATTCAAGTATATTAATAAATTTAT